AATAAGCTCGAGCGCTTTACATACTTATTTTAATGATTCAACAAAATTATATTTCTAGATCTAATTAAATTTAGATAGTTCAGCAAAATCGTTCTTTCCTTGTAATTAGTAGCTAATTACTGTGAAATATTAATTGTATTCGCACGTACGCTATGTAATGCACGTATTAATAGTTTTATAATACTTCGTTAGCGATACAAATTATTGGCTGTTTAAGAAAGCCGTAAAATCTCGCCATCACGAATAGTTTGCGTAATTACGTACTTCATTAAGTTTACGAATATAGACGCGCAGAATGAGTGCGTTTGCGATTGAGTTGAGATTAATTAAGTTTACACGTACCGGCCGTTGTGAATTATGACTGTCCAAAATCTCGACTGCGACGCATCTGACCAAATGACCCCGAAGATTTGATAAGAGCGCAACGTGTCGGTGCAAAGTCATCGATCGACACAATTCGCGAATTATGATGCAAGCGGTCGATTATGAGACCGCCCGTTATTTCTTCGCGCGGCACGCATTGCGAAGTGTAATCTGCGCATGCTGGTCAGTCAAAATATATTCACGTCAGCGTATCCATGAGCGAAGTAATATTTTCAATCGCGATAAATTGCTTGTGATGACGCCTGTCACTTATTTACCATCAATGTTGAATATACGTTTTATCGTGAGCCGATTCTTCACTTTCGCTTCTAACTTGATACTTCAAGCATTATAGCATATATTAAGGTAATATTTATATGTAATATATTTAATATATATTTAATTCATCAATTACTGTAATAATTTGTCAACATTTCATGGTATAATTAACAATATGTTAATATAATGTTAAATAATATAAAATGCAAAACAAATAGTTATATTAATTGGTATTGCTTCAAATTATTTAAATTGTTAACTATACTAATAAAATAAGATAAATCAATAATTTACTACTAAACTTGTAATTGAAAAATTTCTTTTATCTTTGTTCCAAAAATGCGTATTTAGCGATATTTTTTAAATTAAAAATATACTTTATATAAATTAAATTTTTAAATTAAATTAATTAATAATTAATTACATTAAAATTTTTTAACTAAATTAAGAACAAAATGTGTTATAAGTTAAATGATTACTATTTACGCATTTAGTATGAAGATTTATAGCATAGTAAAATATTTTGTAATTTCTAAATCAGTTTTCTTTATTTTAGTTTATTTATATAAAACAAGATAAAAGAAAGTATCACAATGTCTTTAATTACGATGCTGTCTATAAAAAATAGAGATTTTATAAAAATATCTGTATCTACTTAGTATCATTATGTGGTGATGATATTAAATTATCTACATTTTATAAAAATTTATGTATTTATCATCATTTAACAAATTTTCAATAACAATGCACGTTATATGTTTTACTATTATTAATTATTTTATGCAGCTAGTATCTTGCATGTGATTTGAATAAATTATTAAATAAATTTTAACTTAATGATTAAATGTTCAACTAGTATTGTATTAGCAATGTATTTCTGTTCAATACATGCGATACTAATACATCATGTTTAAATAAATGATTTTTTATATACCTAAGATGTTCATCATATTTTCCAAATGAAACGATGCACTGTTGAGACACAACACGTCTACGTAGGACAGTGAATGAAGTCGCCACCGGCTTGCTGGTTGAGCCGGTGTCTCCCACCAATCACCAACCAGTAGTATTTGCGGGGGGCCGCTTTTGCGGTCCCCACCATTGCCTTAAGTCCTCCGATTTAGCCTCTTTAGCCAACGAGGCCCAAGTTTGTGGGGTCCGCCCAAAACCCCAGAAATGCTCATCACTCTGTAAATATAGGCGCCCCACCTGATTCAACCCCACCGCTGACAATATTCTTCTCTTTCTCTCTCTCTCTCTCTCTCTCTCTCTCTCTTTCTCTCTGTCGTTTGGTTATTCCCCCTCCAAGGGACTTGTAGAGTTGTACAGTTGGAGGGGCCATACAGCATACATGAGTCACTATATAAACGGGCAAGGACAACAGAGTATATGAGTATATTCAATCCTTCCGTAGCTCGTTCACTTCGACGTTGCGAGCAACGAATTCGGCTGGGGCGGTGACCGACTTTTTTCCTCTCTCTTTCTTTTTTCTCCTTCTTTTCTAAGTTAGTCCCTTCCTCTTATTTTCATTTTTTTCCTTCCTTTGCCTTGAGACTATTCATTGTTATCAGTTTTGAAACCCCTATTTTCCTAGGATTGGACGGTGAGGAGTTCCTCTCATAGTTTATCCTTCCCTTGCCGAGACATCGCTTATTTATTTTACGACTGCAGTAGTCGCGGCTTCATTAGATATAAAGACGTAGAGTCGAATGGACATAATATATTCGAGCAAACGGAACTCTATTCTCTTTTTTGTATCAAGAGGCTAGGAAAGCGAAAGAAAAAAGTTAACAAATATAGAGACTTCGTGCGGTATATATATATACGCACATATGTATATATATATATATATATATCAGTGATAACCACGACGATAGACATTCGAAGATATTAACAAGCGTTTCGATATCACAGATCTTTAATCAATCGGTGATCCGTGATCCGTACGAGATGCTGGTAATGCAATTCGGGAGATGGCTTTGGCATATAATGGGCGGCAGTGGGACTCAGGTCTTTTGCTCTCTTCTGATATTCGTCACTGTTGTACTGGTGTCTTATTGGCTGTATTTGAAATATAGTCGCATCTGTAAGTTACCTCCTGGTCCATGGGGACTGCCGTATTGTGGCTACATACCCTTTATCAAAGAAGGAATACACCTGCATTTCACTAAGCTGGCCAAGAAATACGGTGGAATATTCAGCGTTAGCATGGGCTCCGAGCTGACCGTCGTTCTCAGCGATTATCGCATTATACGCGATTCATTCCGACGTGAGGACTTCAGCGGCAAACCACATGACGATTTCATGAACATCATCGATGGATACGGTAAGTGTCAGGCACAGCAAATTTCGATAATACATTTTATCTCACGACTTTAGCTCTCGTATCATTGAGACGGGTTAAAGCACTCTGCCGACTTGCTGGTCTTTCGCGCGATTTCAAACGTTTCATTGGTTTTATCGGGAGTTCTTCTCTCGTGCTGCGCGTTCGATTATTCTCAATGTCGACTGACATTGGAACTTTCTTTTTTCAGTATGTCTGTCGCGCGAAATAATTAGATAATAAAATAATTAAGATACAATTTTGGAGAAAACTTCACGAGTGATTTCTTTTCCGCGATTGTTTCAGTGATTACGCGTACATACATAAGTGGTGGCGCATGAAGGATGCGCAGTAGTCAATTTAACTAACAGAATGCTAGCATTTGATTGGCTGGTCATGACTATGATTCTTTCTACATTTTCTGAACTATCGTTTTCGATCGATTGCGGGTTGCTCCCCTGTTAATGCTAATTTCTGTTTCGACGTGTTACAATCAATCGTTTGTGACAGATTAATACCGTAAAAAGAGAACGATTCCGCGAAAAACGCCGCATGTACGAGTTCCCGCGTTTCAACATCGCTTTCGTTGCTGTTGCAGGTATCATTAATACGGAGGGTGCTCTGTGGAAGGATCAGAGGAAATTTGTACATGAAAATCTTAGAAAGTTCGGTATGAATTTCCATAGCGCCAGAAATTTGGAATCGAAGATCATGGTGAGTATTAAAATCATTAATCTAAGTCTATAGTCTTATTAGTTTATTTTATATACATAACAGATATTATAAAATTTTAAAATAAATATTGAAGCGTCTTTTTACACAATATTTTTTAATATTATTTTTTAATATTTTTAAATATTTTTTAATATTTTTATGATATTTAAAATATATCATTTATATTAAGACTTTAAATACAAAGCGCCTTTTCGGTCGAGTGTTAAGATGTTGAACTACTATCTAATATACATTCAATTAAATTGAATTAATATTTCAGAAAATAAATTGAGAGCCGATGAATTTATCGGATTCACACAATCAATCTGAAACAAATAATCCCCCCAAATTCTCCCAAATCTTAAAAAACTGTAATAAACTTATTGCGAAAAATATTGCCTCGGCCGGGAGTCGAACC